AAACTATACTTCATCTTTTAATTCACAAAATGATGAAGCACTAGTGTAGGATGATGTACTAGTGTTATGTTTTAATTCAAAGTGTTCAGTGGAGATTCCAGGATGCAGCTGGAGTCAAATAATAAATAAATAAGTGACAACTTAAATGGATCAGATGGGCAGGCTCGATTATTGCATGTCATCATAACCTGATGGTGTGGGATATTACTCATAATGTCAATCACTGGTTTGTCTGCTTCTGATTGATTATTTCTGCAATGATGTATCTGCAGTATTGCTGACTGTGCTAAACTCCCTTTGTTTAAGAACACTTTGTTATCAAACGTTGAGTGTTCAAGAAATGCAGTTTTATTTCAAATTATGCTAAAAAACAACAGTAAAATTAAAGCTTTGGAGTGGATGTCAAGCATATGGTATAGGTAAAATATGAGACTATTTTGCAACTTTAACCACTAATCTGAAGCCCGAGTCTAGTTAAATTCTGTTTGGACTAGCTCAGCTATTAATAGTCCTCATGATAACGCTAAGCTACCCAGAAAATGATGCAAAGAGCCAAGCTTTGGGTGGTAGTATCAAAACCTTTTAGCACAGACTAAGGCATGATACCCTCAGAAACACAACGTTGTTGACCCAACAGGAATCATTTTCAAAATAACTGTTGATCTGTGAGATGTCCTTGGCTCACATTCAGAACTAAGTCCAGTCCATGTTTGACCTGGGTTAGGAATGGAACGTCTAAATCCCTTGTTTTGGTGATCCTGGTCAGTTTTGTTTGTTGTAGATCAGTGTTGTCCCTCCACTGACTGCTGAAAGGATATCTGGGCCTTGTTCACCCCAAGTGGCTAATCTGCTCACTTGGGTTCCTTGTAGTAGTAGTTTATTCAGTAGTATGGCCACATGGCCTAAAGTACAATTTTACGTGAAAAGATAAGTGGTTACACGAGAGTTTGTAATTGAAAAACATGTTTTATGAACAAAGCAACAGATTTAAGGAGATGTACATTTCTAGTATTTAACAAATTCACCATTGACTGAGTGCTGGTAAAGCTATAATGAGGTAAATACCTTAATACTTGAGTACTTAGGACATATAAACATAATATGATACCCATCTTCAACAGAAGCTAAATTACAATATGTACATAGAGTATCGGATGCAAGTTATGTTAAGATATTCTAAATTTACAGAAAACTCTTCGTTGCTTTCAATCCTCAAGGTTATTGATGTAAGATTCTGGTTCAAAGAGAGATACTTTCATGGCACTGTAATGAGATAAAAAGTTAGAATTTGTAATTGCATCATGCCAAGTCTGGATTACTTTATACCGTATTCAACGTAATAAGCGCCAAGCTCTAATAAGCACCCTCGGCGATATTTGCTAATATATTGGCTAGTGAACAATCCCAATTAGCAACCCTTCTGACTGATCAATGTACACAAGACTTATTTATTCGCATATAATATGCACTCATGTCTTATATGCACCCTTAATTATGGGCAATTAAATTCTGGAAAAATATATCTGTCGTACATAAACATTTCAGGCTGTCAGCATAAATCACGAAATTTATCTTTCAACTCTTTTTTCACCAAAATAATATTCTAATCAGAGCCCCTTATTTCTAATTTTGAGAGCGCCCTGGGCACTTATTACATGGAATATGGTAAGTCTTGGTTACTTTACATTTAAGGACTGTCAGGGTACTGTATTATCACATACTTTTTGTCTGGAATAGTTACAAAATTTAAAATTTGATATATAGCAGAATTTAGTGAACTAATCTATTTCACCTCAATAATATCAGGTTCTACTTATATATGACTTTATGTTTAATAAAATATGATATAGTTTGCCTTGAACAAATCCAGACAACTTCCCTGGCAACATTGCTGTAGTTATTTATGCACATTCTGCAGTGTCTTTCATTAATATAGGGCAGTGGGATGACCAAATGGTTACGTCTTTGATCATCATACCATAGGTATGTCCTTTCAGGAAGGCCCAATTTTTTATTCACCCTCCCTCCCTCACTCGACTCGTGAAGATCAAGGGTAGAATAGGTCTTCAGCAACCCATGCTTGCCATAAAAGGTGACTATGCTTGTCGTAAGAGGCGACTAACGGGATCAAGTGGTCAGGTTCGCTGACTTGCTTGATGCATGTCATCGTATCTCATTTGCATGGACCAATGCTCATGATGTCAGTCAATGGATTTTCTGGTCCAGACTTCATTACAGACCGCCGTCATATAGCTGAAATATTGCTGAGGGCGGCGTTAAACAACAAACAAACATTCCCTCACTCACTTCTCCAGTGTTACTGACTGCCTCAGGGTCTAGAGAGTGGAAGGTCGGGGGTTCAATCCCCAGCAGCATCATACCAAAAGACGTCAAGAGATGGTCCTTGTTGGTATCCTGTAACGGCAGGCATTAAGGGGTTAAAACAAGGACTGGGCGACTAGGAGTTGGTAAACTTTGTCTGAGTAGGGTATTCATGTTAAACCTGCGGCATTGCATTAGTCCAGACAAGTACCAGCAGCCACACTCACACATGCATGCCCACCGCCATATAAGTGTAATAATCTTGAACACCATTTCACCTCGCCTCAGGGGGCACGGGTGGCCCAGTCGTCTAAGGCGTCCCTTGGGCACGCCAGAAACCTATGATTGTGGGTTCGAATCCCGGTTCGCCCTGATAATGTTTCTAGGTTTGTCAGCACCATACCCGTGCTTGCGGGTTTCACTGAAGTGGTAAACGTCTGAGACCTGCATCACTTCGGGCTTTCCTCCCACATTAAAGGGGCACTGATCTAAAGTAATTCCCCGGGACTGGTTGTTGCCTTTGTTATTGTTTTTTCCCAGTGAGTACCCGGATGTATAGCAAAAATCTAGACTAGTTCGCGACCTCTGCTGCGCCATTCGTAAGCGCATTGGTCACTTGTATGGGTAGTAATAGGGGCGTATGGTCACGTTGATCAACAAAATGAAATACACTTTTCGAGATAATAAGGAAATGTAAGTATATTTGTGGGTAGCATCGGTAATGGTGACGAAGTTTTGATAAGTCACTTGCTTGGTAATTTGGCGATTTTCGTTTACACTATTTTTACTTGCAACACAAAGTATATATTTCACCTGAGCATTGTTTTTTTATTGTGTGTATATTTTTTTTACAGTCAAAATGTGTAACGTTTTAAATTTTATTAAATGCCTCAATATTCAGTTATTTTACAAAGTGACTGAAAAACATTTCCATCTGTATTATTATGATAACGAATTCCAAACATTTTGATCTTTAATGTCATCACCAAGAGACTGAAAATGTTACGTTAAAATGTACATTTCTATGTTGTTTGGCTTCTGATCCTACATAATAATCTGTTGTGATGTTTTTAGGCCCTTTTGATCGTCTTAATCAATTTTAGTCAATCTGGACAGATGTTTCAGTCAAAATGACTGAAATATTTATACATTTTATAAATTGCCTGAGAGAATCACATTTTACAAATTGACGGTAATATATACACGCTCACAAAGGAAAAGACTTGTGAAAACAACGTCTATCGCGCATTGAAGAATTTCTCAACCAAGACGTAGAGGAACAAGAACGAATCGGTTCAATGCTACAGCAAATGAAGGAAAACAAAATGCAAATATCATAATTACAACCTACCAAATTTATGTGTATAAATTTTAGGCAGCTTCCTTGTTCGAGGAATGTATCCGTGAATATCCACACAAAGGAACAATATCCCACTTGTCTGTAGCTGTACAAAGAAACTTATTCGATGTCACGTGTCTCTGTAACAATCAAATAATTTAAAAGATATATATCGTTTCTGGATATTATAACCCGTGTTCGTTTCTCAGCTGATCACTTACATTGTTTCAAGTGTTTCACATCGGTGTCAAGTCTCAAGGGTCGGCTGAGAAAGCCCACGTGACAACTATTTTCATAACGTCCACGGTTCCTAAAAAATCCATTGAGTGATAGATAACAATGAGCAAACAATCAACGTATTATCAGTTAAACCTTTGAACAAAGTATGTTGTTTTTACATCGACACTTCACGCCATGATATGAGTGTATTCCCTTTGTTTTAGTAAACCTAGACATGTAGACACTCACTTTTGACATATCCACTGTGCAAGATAACAGTGATTAATCAATCAACGTATGTTCTGTTAATCCTTTGATGACTTGGAACAGAAAAAGTAAATCAATTGATCATTCACCTCTTGCCGGGCTGCCACGTGCATATTACATAACACACATTTCACGTCACTTCAAACCTGGATTTAGATTGAATAATTACCCCAGACACAATAAATGCCAAATGGGAACCTTTGTCAGGTTATCTAAGTGGTGCTACCACTAATTGTACCTGTAATAAATTCATTAACTGAGCATCAAGTGAATGACGACAAATACACAAGTGTAGGGTTATACCAGAAAACGTGGATGACAACAAGGGAGTAGTAATCGTATTATCGACGCAAGCCGAAATCCGAAAATGCTTTCACTGCATGGATACTTTTTTAAATTATTAAACTATAACCATCTGGGGTATTTCCAAATGACGACATCCGATGAGCTCCACCGTTCTTTTTGTCTGTTTGTTTAGGCTGAAGAAATTAATTAACATGCGCCCTTTGTCGAAATCTTTATAGATCACAGTTAACCAATCAGTGTCCAAAAATGCGTAAAACAAATCTTGCCTCCAGTTTATTTAGCTGTCCTTGCAGAAGGTAGCCCAGTCTCTGGTCACGCTCAGTTGCGTTGCGTATCATCCGGGTACTCACGGGGGAAAAACAATAACAAAGGCAACAACCAGTCCGGGGAATGGCGTTAGATCAGTGCCCCTTTAAGCTGACACGCCTTGATATAACTGGAATACTGTTAAAAGCGACGTTAAAACCCAACTCACTCACTCACTCACTCACCTCGCCTCACCTCCAGTGCTCCTGTTTTCACCTCCATGTATTTTCTCCTATTTCAGGGTGGAACAAATGAAGCCTCCAAAGAAGCAGCAAGACAGCAACAACTAGAAGACAACTACAATAATGTTTGGGGACAAGGTAAAAGTAAAAAATCAAAAAGTAGTATTATTGACAAAGGGCAATAGTATCATAGTAACCTGAAAGATTTCTATATTTTCTATGTAGAGGTAGTTTCCTGGTATTTGGATGTTTGGTGCAGGTGGTTGTGGAATACTTGCATGATATTACACCACATGACCAAGTGGTATTCCATGCTGTCACTTATTGTTTCCTGATCTGACAAATTAATGAATATCAATGAAAATGGGTAAATTATTGGTTCATAAAATATCTTAAAGATTTTTTGTTTGTGATGAATAAGATGTATTTCTCATTTTGTTCTGCAGTCAGTATTAGTATTTTCATTCAAACATTTATTTATGAAAATAAACTTTTTGCTGAATATTTTGGATTTTAGAAGTGCTAAGAACTGAGTGACAATATTTTGCAAAACCAGTGCAGTTATTCCAATCTTAATTCTGTGACCAGTTCAGTTTCAGAATTTTGCAAATTTCAGCTGGCCACAGTTTAGGCTAGTTGGTCAAACATTGTTGACTTTTTCACAGAGTGACAGCTTAAGATACAAAAAGTTGGAATCTTGTACATAAAATTGGAATCCAGTGCAAAAAGTTGGAATCCAGTGCAAACATGAAATTTGAGTTAAAACATTTCCTTGACAGTGCTTGAAAATGAAAAAAACAAATTAGGCGCATGCAGTTCATGAGAAACAGGACATTTATTTTAGCAAGGCTTATCTGATTCAAAGAGTACCATTCCAGCATATTCTCTTGAATATTAGCTGATATAAAGGGATGGTAGCACCTAGGAGCGTCTGTGTCAGATTATACAGTTTCTGTGTCTTTTTTATGTGTTTGCTGTTAAATGAAATGTGTGCATAATGATTATCATGAAGTCTATTGTGGACATGTTTGAAGGATGTAATATTGTGTGTATGAATTAATCAAAGCTTGGAGGTAATCCAAAGACAAATAGAATTAGCCAACTAGTGGTTGTGTAACCAAGGCAGGTATGTCGTTATCTTGCAAACCATATTGATATTGATAAGGTTGAGAACTCAACTTAAACACCTTTGTTGACCTTGAATAGCTGCAAGATTACTGATGCAGTGTGAAACAATAATCACTCACTTAAACTCCTCGTGTTGGGATTTGGATTGATCTGGGTTGGACCCACCATGATATTGCTGGAATAATGCTAAAAGCGGCGTAAAACCGCATACTCACTCACTCGCTCACTGGGTTGGAAGTGGTCTTCAGCATCCCATGCTTGTCGTAAGAGGCGACTAACTGGATCGGGCGGTACACTAGTCATGCCGTAGTTTGAAAGCAGGGTCTGGATTGCAATATTGTTTGTGATGACCAAGGTGATAGCCATAGATCATGAAGTCGTAGTCATCATGGCAGGTAACCACATGACACGGGGTGCTGCCTAGTCGTGGTCTACACTGATGCAATACCACACTGCATGTTTATCTGACGACCCCTCTGTATATTGTGTGAGGTGAAGCTTAACCGATCTTTAACTGCCAAATCTAAATGAAATGGGTGTTTTTTACACAATCAGATGGGGTTTGGCCTCATTTAGAACTGCCTAGATTCAGGAATTTCTATTTCATCAAAAGAAAACCCACACAGAACACAATTATATTCCTCTATGGTCCTTACTTTCTGATGTATACATTATCCATTACTGTATAATCCCAATGCCTTCGTTATTGACATTCAGAACTTGACAATTAAGTTCATTTAAGAAATATTTGGAAAACTTGACACTGAGTAACTGATTAGGAAGTTCACCTTATCCAACGTGCTGTGGAGGGATATCAGATCTTCATACAGAGAGGTATCGTATCAGAGTTAGATATCTGATTTTAGCTTGATTGTCTCTTGTCAGTCTTCTGTAGGATGTATCCTTGCCGTATCTTAACCCATATGACATCTAATTCCTTATCAAGGACTTGCCATAAAAAACTGGCTTTGGTGTTGTCAATACAATCAGATTCATCACAAAGTAGTGATACATGTAATTTTTGTAATATTTTCATAAAATCATTTTGTATATTTTGAGGGTTTTGTATATTGTGCAGTGTTTAATTGTCAAGGGGGTCCCTAGATTCTGATGCTTTATACGAGCAAACCTTCAGACTCCAGGACTATCCAGTGACTGACATCATTTGAATTGCATAGATCAATGCTCATGATGTCAATCACTGGATTGTCTGGTCGAGACTTGAATATTTACATACCACCGTAATATAGCTGGAATATTGCTGAGTGAGGCACTAAACAACAAACAAACAAACAAACAATTAAACAACCCTTGCACCCACCTTCCTTTTGAACATTGTTCTTTGATGCACATAGGTTCTAGTCAGATAATTTCAGTTGTTAATGTGTACATAGCTTGTTATTGGTGTACTAAGTTAAGTATATGTGTGTTTAATGTATGTAGTTTGTTGGCTTGCTAATTTATTTTTAGGACATTGGTGTTTCTGATGAAGGAGTTTACAATATCAATATTAATCTTTAGATGTGGCACCATAACACACCCTCTGGTTTCTCTGAAGTAATGGGGGAAATATTGTGAAAATTACAAGTCAGAATTTAGTCCAATACAGGCAAAATTATTTTGAGTTTACAAAGTGTTTTAAAAAATGTCATCTTTAAAACTTATGATTGTCAATTTGGCATAGATATTTCGCCGAATTGTTCAGTCGCCATCTCATCATGAAATTTCTTGCATATATAAATCTAGAGTTGTAGCCTTAATCTTTGATATTCAGATTTTGCCCCAAATATCGACCTTTCTCTTACGAGAAAAAAAGAAAGAAAAGCTTGCAGCAGACAATGGTTCTAAAGTCATCCATTTCGTTTAATTTTTCTTCTCCCCCCCCACCTGCTGCAGGTAATATTTGTACAAACATTCCATGATCAAGTTTTTATTTTTTTCCCCCTCCTCTCCATTTTTCTTGAATGATAATTATTGTGAACAAGGTGCTGCTGACTTGTGATTCACAACATGGTGTTAGAACTTACAAGATACAATCAAACAAATGTTTTTTTAACTGAAATAATCATTGAACTTACAAGACACGATGATATGACTATATACCAAATGTTTTTTAAGCTGACAAGACACAAATGACTGAAAAATATCTTTTTCTTGAATTATGAGATACAGTCAAACTGCTTGGTAATAAATGTGCTTTTAGAACTAACAAGACATAATCAAAACTTCAGCTTGAATAACCAAACGGTGTTTATGAATTACACGCCACACTCAAACTACTGAATAATGAAATGTTTTTAGAAGGCACTGATAAACAGAAACACATTCACTTTTTGACAAACTTTGTGATTCTTAGACTCCGGTTTCATGTCAAAATAATTAATTTTATCTTTGTTTGTGGTCCAGATGGAGAACTAGAGTATTATAAATACTGTGTTATTTGTTCCCAAATGTGAATTCTAATAATGTGACTTTTATGTCCGTATCATATAAAACCTGATATAGACCCCATCTTGTATATAAAGAAACTCGCCAGTAGAAATTGAAGATAATTTGCCCAAAATATTGTTAGAGAATATTTTTTTAGTTGTATGATAACTGTTATGTTTTTGTTGTAACTTTCCAACAAAGCGTGTGGAGCACATCCCCTGCATCTCTTTCCCCCCCCCCCCCCCCCCCACACTGGATTTCTACACTTGTCTTTTGAAGATTTTGAGAACTCATTTTGCTTTGACCTCCTAATGTAGTTTTTATGTGTGTGGAATATTACTCTATTTTTTTATAAGATAAGAGTAACATACCAAGTTTTATATAGTGAAGCATGTCATTTTATGTTCAAGCGTGTGCAAAGTCATACGGGCAGTAAAATGCATTGATGCATATGAAACTAATGTTATTCAGTGTGGGAATGCCAAAAAATATATTTGCTTCTAAGGACACAATTTATGATTCTAATACAAATCAAAAGTAATACATTGCCAGTTTTTAGACTCTATCTTTTTTAGTTAGATCTCCAGTCACCCATTTTGATGTTAAGAGATGGCTTTGAACAAGATGAGGCAAGTCAGGAGATTGTTTGTATTGTAACATAGTTTATGATGCCCAGTGTTGGGATACTGCAGACAGTGGTTATACTTGGTGTATCAAGTGTGACGACTTTGTTGTTCAGTTAATTTATTGGAATAAACATGTTGGTTACAATATTTTCTTGTTCTTTATTATCATATCACCTTCAAAATAACATGGTGCACTTTTGAGACAAGATAATGTAGGGTACGACTGGCCCAGTCATCTAAGGTGCTGCAATTTGCAATTTGCTCTTGGGTTTCACCGAAGTGGTAAACGTCTGAGACCTGCATCACTTGGGGCTTTCTTGCCACATCAAGCTGACACAGCATCATATAACTGGAAGACTGTTAAAAGCAGTGTTAAACACAACTCACTTACAAAGAGTGAATGTTGTTTTATCCAGTAATATCACGGCAGGGGAAACCAGAAATGGGCTTCACATACTGTACCCACGTCGGGAATTGAACCCAAATCTTCAGCATGACAAGCAAACGCTTTAACCACTAGGCTACCCGACCACCCCCATAGTATTGTGACTGTTTAAGCCTATGTTAAGGTAGGTGAGTTACGATTCTCTAGAAGCTGCAATCATGGATTGCTGGTCAGGACCACTTGTTAACAAAAGATGTTGCAAGGCCTCATCATATTTAAGTAGCCCAAAACACTTTCAGTAAACTAAGAAATGAAAAGAAAATGACATGAAATGTTACTAGCCCAATTTGGAAGTCACTGGCATTTGGGTAGTAGGCAGGCAGCTATTTTGAACACTGATCACACCAGGATGTGCTGACCTCTGGTAGTACCATCAACCACTGGTCTGCTTTGCCCAGATTCTCCATATACATGATGCTAACTGTAATATTAAACCCCAAAAGTGGCATAAAACTACATTTACACATTCAATCCATATGTGTATCTGATTCTCCACGAGTTAAAACTGACCCGTGAAGATCCGGGCAGAGAATAGGTCTTCAGCAACCCATGCTTGCTATAAGAAGCAAGTATGCCTGTCGCAAGCGGCGACTCACGGGTGGTCAGGCTTGCTGACTTGGTTGATGCATGTCATTGTATCCCAATTGCCTAGATTGATGCTCATGATTTTAATCACTGGATTGTCTGGTCCAGATTTGATTATTTACCGACCGCCGTCATATAGCTGGAATATTCCTGAGTGCAGCGTTAAACAGCAAACAAACAAAATAAACCTAGAACTGAATGGTGAAATACAATAGGAAACATCACCTACCATTTAGCCCTGGGTTATTGTATAAAAATATTCTCAGTCTTTTCATCACCAGTAGATGAGGAACTGGAAGTGACCCCTGATGCTGATAAAGCTAACCTTGCAACATGATGACGACCACTGTTCCACAAAGTACTTTTGATGTCAGAATATGAAACACAAGCACAACTAACTCCTAAGATGAAGTAGAGTGGAGATTGTTTCCTCTTTGCGTGCGTCAACATCAGATTTCCTGGACTTCTTTTTATGTGAAGACCTACAATAACAATCAACAATCTGGCAGCAGTTTACAAACAAGATGTTTATATAATGTTTTCTGTGGATTGTGTTATGTGTGACAAACAGAAAGGATTGTCCAGTTGGCTTTTGAAATTTCATTTCAATACTTTCATGTGACTGTATTTGAATGTTAAGACGTTTTGAAAAGGTCTCCTCCTTTTGTTTGTGACCAGGTCTTTTGAACCAATCGGAAAACAAGGCACTGACTTTGTTTGTTGTTTAACACGAATTCAACAATATTCCAACTTCATGACCGTGGTCTGTAAATAATCCAGTCTGGACCAGACGATCAAGTGATTGAGATCATGCGCATCGATCCACTTCAGCAGATCCGATGACAGGCTTCCAAGCACGTCACCAGCCTGACCACCGGATCCATTTGGTAGGCTCTCATGAACAGCAGGGGTTGCTTGGGGCCTATTCTAACTCCTTCTTGAAGGAGCTGACTTCATATGTTTCATGTACATTGTCCCAGACAGAGACTACCAACATGTCAATTAACCAACCAAAACGGTAATTTTCACCAAAAAGAGAGACATGAGGTTGTATGAGTTCAAACATTTCTTTATAATAATCTCAATTTTTCAGGCACAAATCACACTTTCATAATAGAATAGACAAGGTGTTCGTCCAGACACAGCAAAATGTCAGGTACTATAGTTGGGATTCACAAGGCATTAGAAGAAACATCTAGTCCCATCCATGTGTTGTTAATAACAGGTATTAATTGTGGGACAGGCCCTACGTTTGTTTGTTGATTAACGCTGCACTCAGCAATATTCCAGCTGAATGACGGCGGTCTGTTAATAATCGAATCTGGACCAGGCAATCTAGTGATTGGCATAATGAGCATCGATCCACACAATTGGGATACGATGACATGCATCAACCAAGTCAGCGAGCCTGACCACACGATCCCGTTAGTCGCCTCTGACGACAAGCATAGTGGCCTTTTACAGCAAGTATGGGTTGCTGAAGACCTGTTCTAACCATTCTTCACGGGCAGACGGGCCCTACGAACGTACAGTTTTAATTAGTATCCATTCCATCAGCATAGTTCGCTGGGGACCAATTCTAACCCGGAACCTCCACGGTAGACTGACAATACTGTTATACTTTGAAATACAATACTGTTTAGCGTCTGAATACTTTCCATGACGAATCTGTCTTCTTATTACCACTGCTCACAAATACCAAAATAATTCCAGAGACTCAATTTGTCCGCGGAAACAGTAACATTGGTGTGTTTGGTGCTACAATCTGACCATGAACTTCAGCAAGTTGGCAAGCTATGTCCCAAAGGCAGCTACCACTTGTTGGACTATTGTCTGTTGTTGTAAATAAGGGGCATGCCAGGTAGCTGTTTATTGCTACTGATAGCAAGTTGATGGACATGTGCTTCCGTCCCTCCTAAGGGGGGTAATCAGACGCCGAACTTGTGTTCTACCATACCCATGTGCTCCGGCGGATGGGCGGAAGAATTTCTTGCAAGGTGTGCAACGTCCTTGGCGGACTGATTCCCTTGTCTGTAGAATGCTACGACTGACTGGGAATTTCGGTCTATTGAGGTTCACGGAAAGTGTCGACTGTAAAGTTGGTGCTCAGGAATATTCGTCTCCTGGAGAAAGCGAGTCTACCAAACTCAGTTCCCAGTTAACAGTAAATCCACATGTTAAAAACAGAGGATTTAAGCCCTTAGGGATTCCAAGAGCCAGTAAACAGCTTAAATAGCACTAGATCCGGGTTAGAGTTGGTCTTCAGCAACCCATGCTTGTCGTTAGAGGCGACTTACGTGAACGGCTGGTCAGGCTCGTTGACTTGGTTGATGCATGTCATGGCAACCCATTTGCGTAGATCGACGCTCTTGATGTCAGTCACTGGATTATCTGGTCCAGACTCGATTATTTACAGACCGCCGTCATATTGCTGGGTGCGACCCGTGAAGATCTTGGGTAGAAAAGGTCTTCAGCAACCCATGCTTGCCGTAAAAGGCGACTATGCTTGTCATAAGAGGCGACTAACGGGATCGGGTGGTCAGGCTCGCGGAATTGGTTGATGCATGTCATGGTATCCCAATTGCGTCGATCGACGTTCTTGACGTCAATCTGTGGATTGTCTGGCCCAGACTCGATTATTTACAGACTGCCGTCGTACAACAACAAACAAACAAATATTGCTGGTTGCGCCGTATGTCATATACCAAAAACTTACTCCTAGACATTTGAATACACATTACTGGCCCAGAATAGAAGGCCGAGAATTGTTGTCAAAACCCAGCGACAACAACCTGTCCAATTCGTTGTGCATTCCTTATGAATAAGAGTGAGTGAGTGAGCGAGTGAGTTGGGGTTAACGCCTCTTTGGGCAATATTCCAGATATATGACTGCATGTCAGCTTGATGTGGGAGGAAAAGCCAAAGTGATGCAGGTCTCAGACGTTTATCGCTTTGCTGAAACCCACGAGCACGGAAAGGGTGCTGACAAACCTAGAAACATAATCGGGGCGAACCGGGATTTGAACCCACAATAATAGTCTTCTGGCGTGCCAAGGGACACAACCCTGCACAGCGAAAATTGCGGCGCCTAAAACGACCGGGCCACCCGTGCCCCCCACATTACCCGGCGGTTAATACCGACAAGGGGCCGTGGGAATTGAACCCGGGTCTTCTGTGAGACGAGCTAACGCTTGAACCTCTGGACTACCTATAGCCCGTAAAAGTACAGGCGACCGCTCAACACTGAAAGCTCTCCTGTTCTACATCACTGTTCACCGAGACCTCCATGGACGCTCCCCACCTTATTTTAGGCTAATTTTGTAACCAGTTTAACACTCGAAAGGTTTCGTTGTTGACATGACTATTTTAGGAACTTTCTTCTGAGAAAATGTAAAACACAAAAGTGAAATATTTCCCCTTTTTTCTCAAAGCCCTTAACTTCTATAGTGGCATCGTGGTGGGTTTTCCATTGATGGCGACAACAAACTCCTACATTCCGACATCAACATGGGTAATTGTTCTTTTGATTAAAAAACATGCTTCCTTTGATTTCAAAATATTTACCTTAAACGACATTTTTTGCTTGCGAGTTTGTGAGCTTAACATTAGGTAATGAAAATCACAAGCATTTGAACTTCGGGTACCGTGAGCCAAAGCGCTTTCAAAAATAAGACTACCATTTAAATCACAAAGGATCAAACCACTAATTTGACTATATTTGTTTTAGGCTCTTGTAAATACGTGGCGTGCTGGGTATATAGGATAGCGATTAGAGATTGTTAAACCGACTTGTGTCTATCACAAGATGTCTGTGGTATTTTAATGACTAACACACATCCGTCAAACATACTTCAGCATTTGCATAGCATGTTGCTGACCATCTTAAACAAACACGTTACGATAATAAAACAGGAAAACGTCGGAAATAAAACACAGAAAAATACACACCTTACACATATTGGATACAACGAGAGTTAAGCTATTATTACGCAAGAACTACTTTGATAAACAACCCGAGCAAGCTTGTTTATTTTTTCTTGGTGATATGCAAAAGAATGCTGTGTGTTGTATTTCCTAAGGTGTTTTCGCCATATTCCTTCGTGGCTGTTAAAATG